AGGAAACCCTTGAGGAAGGAGCTCATTTTCTTTCACCTGACTTGTTATTTTAGGCTTTATAAGACAATGCAACCAAATGCTGAATTATTCTAATTATTTAATCTGTAAATTTTCCAGACATTTTTTTTCTCCTTTTTCTCTTCTTTCATTTACTTCTCTGTTTATTAGTATATGCACTGAGAATTCACCTTAGAAGCATTAGATTCTTGTTTAAAACTCCAATAAAGACTTTTTTGTTTGTTTCTGTTACATTTGTTTTATTTTTTCATTGAAATTCTTTATTGTTTAAAGTATTACATATGTCTCCTTTTTCTCCCATTGACCTCTCCCCACCTACTCCCCCTGTCTAGCACATGCTCTCACCCCCGCTTATTTCACTTAGCATAATGCTCTCCAGTTCCATCCATGCTGTTACAAATGGTAAGAATCCCTTTTTTTACCGCAGTGTATTATTCCATTGTGTAGATGCACCAATATTTTTAAGCCTCTCATCTGCTGATGGGCACTTAGGCTGTTTCTAGATCTTAGCTATTGTAAATTGTGCTGCTATGAATGTAGGGGTGCATATATCTTTTCTGATTGGTGCTTCTGATCTCTTGGGATTTCTAGAATGGGATTACTGGGTCAAATTGAAGTTCCATTTTTAATTTTTGAGGAAACTCCAAACTGTTTTCCATAGTGGCTGCACCAGTCTGCATTCCCACCAGTAGTGCATGAGGGTTCCTTTTTCTCCACATCCTTTCCAGCATGTGTTGTTTGTTGATTTGTTGATGATAGCCATTCTGATAGGGTGAGATGGTACCTCATTGTTGTTATCATTTGCTCCTCTCAGAGGATTAGTGACTTTGAGCATTTTTTTCATATGTCTCTGGGCCGTCTGTATTTCCACTTTCAAAAAGTGTCTATTTAGGTCCTTTTCCCATTTTTTGAGTGGATTGGTTATCTTCCTTTTGTTAAGTTGTATGAGTTACCTATACATTGTGAAGATTAAACCCTTATCGGGTAAGGGTTTAATATTGTAATAATGTAATATTGTAATATTGGCAAATATATTCTATGCAGTGGGCTCTCTTGTTGTTTTGTTGATGGTTTCTTTTGCTGTACAAAAGCCTTTTATTTTGATGTAGTCCCATTTGTTTATTTTCTCCTTAGTTTCCATAGTCCTAGGAGCTGTGTCTGTAAAGATATTGCTACAACATATGTCTGCTATTTTGCTGCTTATGGATTCTTCTAACATTTTTATGGCTTCCCATCTTACGTTTAAGTCCTTTGTCCATTTGAGTTTATTTTTGTGTACGGTGTAAGTTGGTGGTCTAGTTTCATTTATTTTTCATGTATCTGTCCAATTTTTCCAACACCATTTATTGAAGAGACTGTCTTGACTCTATTGTATGCTCTTGCCTCATTTGTCAAATATTAGTTGAGTGTAATAGCTTGGGTCATTTTCTGGGTTCTCTGTTTTGTTCCATTGGTCTATATGTCTGTTCTTGAGTCAGTACCGAGCGGTTTTGAGAACCGTGGCTTTGTAATATAGCTAGATATCTGGTATTGTGATCCCTTCAACTTTGTTCTTTCTCATAAAGACTTTTAAAAACATAACTTCAACATCAAAGCAATCATTCCTTAATTGGAGCTGACAGAGGGTGGGAAGGCAGCTAAAGGAACAGTATCTCTATCTCTATCTTTTTTGATATAAAGGACATAATTTGTTCATTTGGAAAAATCTGAATGAAGTCTGTATATTAGATAATTGTTTTGTAGCAATGTTAATTTTGTGGATTATGAAAATTATATTACAGTGACATAAGTTGTTCTCATTCCTAGGAAATATACACTGAGGTATTTAGGAGTAAAGGGATATTGTGTTTGCAATTGATCATCAGGTGAGAAAGAGATAGTAAAATGGGATATCTTGATGAAGAGTATATGGAAAAATGTTTTTATACTACTCTTGCAACTTTTCTGTAAGTCAGAAATTATTTAAATAAAACAAAATTTAAAGATTTTAAATTTATTTTAGAGAGAGAGAGAAACATCAACAGGAGAGCAAAACTTCAATTGGCTGCCTCCTGCATGCCCCATACTGGGGATCAACCCTAAAACCCAGGCATGTGCCCTGACCAGGAATCAAACCAGCAATGCTTTGGTGCAGAGGATGACGCCCATCCAACTGAGTTAGACAGGCCAGGACAACTAATTAAAAAAATATCCATACTTAGCACTTTCGACTTATTCTGAGGACAAAAGGAAATGGAGGGCTTTGTGTTTTACAATGATGTCTCATTCTGCAGTGTAATGAATGGTTCAATCTGGTGGGGACTCATCACCAGTTCAGAGGCTCTTGTAATAATCCAGGTGAGTGATGATGGTGGCCTCAAATAAAGGATGGCAATGGAGGAGAGAAGCAGATAGAGAAATGAGATACCTAGAAAGTAAAAATCAGAGGACATGATGGGATGTTATAGAAGTTATAGAGAGGGATGAGTCAGGGGTGACCTTTGGGTTTTTCCTTAAGTGATTGAGTAGATGTGTATTGAATTTGTGAGATAAGCACCAGAGGCAAAGGAGCACATTTTAGTGGCAAGGACGATTTTAGTTTTAGACCTTACCAGCAAACTAGCTCTAGCTATAGTCTTCCCCATTTAAATTGATAGTAATGCCTTCCTTCCAATTGCTCAGGTCCAAAACTTTGGAAATACATTTTCTCACATCTGACATCCCGTTTACTAGGAAACCTTGTTGGCTCTGTCTTCACAAAATACCAAATATCTCACCACTTCTCACCACCTCCACTGATACTGTGCTGGTTCAAGCCACTGTCTGGATTATTTCACAGCTTCTTAACAGGTCTCCTGTATCTACATTTTCTCTATACAGTAACCAGTTGGATGTTCTTCAAACACAGGTAATGCCACCCCTCTGATCTAAACTCTCCAATGACTTCAAATATCTCTCAGTATAAAAGTCAATGTCCTTCCAAAGGCCTTTAAGATTCTGCATGGAATGACGTATAGTACTGCTTTGATCACATCTCACACTCTTACACTTGTTCACTCTGTTCCAGCCACAGCAACCACTTCGATTCTCCTTAAACTTGCAAGGCACACTCCAGCCTTGGGTCCCTTGCTCTTGTCCTCTCTTCTGGAATGCTCTTTCTCCAGCTAGCAATATAACAGAAAACTCTGAAATGACAAGGACTTAAACAAGGTAGAACTATTTCTCTATATAGTATAAAGAAAATATAAAAATAAGGTGTCAAAGGAAGTTATTGTGACCCCACAATGTGTCATTAAGCCCCAGGCTCAGACATTTTTGCTTCTATAACTTCAGCATCCTTTCTTAAGGCTACTTCATGACACAAAGTGCATACTGGAGTCCCAGATATCATGTTCATATTTTACACTGCCACCAGGAGGGTAGGCAGAAAGAAACTCCCAATTGAGTCAGTTCCATCATAAGAAGCAATCTCAGCCCTTCCACAAATAAATCTGTGTATAGCTCTTTGGTTACATCTTACTCACAACTTACCTTTAAAAGCCTTTTGAAGGACTGTGGATTTCAGGGTGAAAGATCATATTTAGGTGCTAGGAAGGCTGGAAATGCAGTTGTTTATTTCAGGTGTTAACATGCTCAGCTAAAAATTAGAGTTCTGTTACTAAGGAGAAAGGGGTGAATGGATATTGGCGAAGGGAGATAGCAGGTTTTGCTGCAGATATCTTATTTCTAATGTTGATGACTTCACCAGTACCTGTCCTCTGCCAGCACAGCCACAGGGCCTGATGCCACATTACCCATCTTCACTTTGGGAGGTGGGCAGTGGAGAGCCAGGCTTTTAAGCCATATTGGTGAAGTGGTAAGAAGGAAGGACAGGCTAGGAGAAAGGGTGTGGTAGCCCTGGGCATCTAGGAAAGGGGAGCTTTTGGTTTTGATGAATCTATGACTAAACTAAAGTTTGAGTCTTACTGTTCATTTTTATCCTTGTTTTTCTTTCCTCTGTAATCATTTGCACTCAGAGTTGTCTCCATGTGATTTGGCGTGAGATGTAGGTGTTCTGCTGGGCCTGGGTGTGAAATATGTCCATGTTCAGAGTTTCTCATATTTCCCATTTCTTTTTCATTTTCATTTCCGTATAGGGCATTGGTAAGGCTTTTTAGCCACATGTGATATTATCAAGTACAACTTGAACAAAGAGATGCAAGTATGAGTGAAGCTTTGCTGCAGAGATAGATAGGACTTAAGTTACAATAATATATTTTCTGAGGTGTAAACTTCTTTGTGAAAAGAATATGTATATAAATTTATCTGTTTTAATAAACTAGCTGAATTGAGGGGTTGCTAGAATTAAAAATAATTAAATACCAGGAGATTATTTCCTAAGATTTGACAATTTTAGAAATAATTTTTAAAAACAAGTTAGACAAAATATACATATTATAATATACTAGAGGCCCAGTGCAAAAAATTTGTGCACTGGGGGAGGGGTGTCCCTCAGCCCAGCCTGCACCCTCTCCAATTGGGCCTAAACAGGCAGTTGGACATCCCTCTCACAATCCAGGACTGCTGGCTCTTAACTGCTCACCTGCCTGCCTGCATGATCGCCCCTAACCACTCTGCCTGCCCGCCCGCTCACCCCCCTTAGTCCAGAAAGACCTCTGCCGGCCTTGTCACCCCCAACTGCCCTCTCCTGCTGGTCTGGTCACCCATAACTGCTCTCCACTTCTGGCCATCTTGTGCTGGCCATCTTGTGACCACATGGGGGCTTCCATCTTTGACCACATGAGGGTGGCCATCTTTGTGTGAGGATGTGATGGTCAATTTGCATATCACTTCTTTATTATATAGGATTCCATAGAAAATGTCTTTAGGAATACCCATTATTCTCTGGTTACTAGTTATCTCTGCACGAGTGACAGGAGGAATTTTATTTTCTATTATCTCTTTTTGTGATTGGTTTGTATACTTTTTTATTTTGCATAAACTCCCACCCTCAAACCCAAGGCAAGAAAAATAGCCCAGGAGTGATGCAGATTACTCAATGAGGAGGTAGTTAACATGTGATCTTCCCATGTGACACAAGTGATATAATCTACAGCACTACAGTGGTGGCTCATGGGTTGGAGGTGTGGGCAGCTCCTACTTATGCCAACTTCTAAGTTACCAAGAAAATGCTCTAACCACACAAATGAAAGTTCCTTTTGGGAGGTATGTTGTGGTTGGGTAGTTTCCCTTCTGTTGTAAGGATAATGTCTAAGCAGGAGGTCCCTGGATTTGCTCTGTTCAGAAAGTCAGGGTACAGTAATCAGACAATAGCCAACACAAGTGATTTATTCTAAAATCTCCAACTCATATCAAGATTTACCATGTTGTATAGTGCCAGGTGGGTACTGGAAATATTACAGAGATCACTTTTTAAAATATAAGATTGTCTAACCACTATGTGTACACCTGAAACTTATATAAAATAACATTGATTATAAAATGTAATTGAAAAATAAAATTTTAAAAAAGGAAAAAGATTTACCATGCAAATATCTATCTATTCTGGGGAATGTTGGAGAAAGGATAGGGATCTTTTAGGTGTAAAACCCTGGGAAATGCAGATTGTTCCAAACTTTTAAGCCAACAGTGGTATGGATACTTGGAAAAACATTTAAATGTATGTTGCATATGCAGCAAAAGGGAAGGTAGGTCTGGGTGCTGAACAGTGGAGGAATGGAACCAAAAAAGATGAGATAGTATGACCAACATGGAAGGCAGCTCTGATGGTGACAAGGAAAGCAAGAGGATCATGGCACAGCTGGGCAGGACAAGCCAATATTTTTCCTCTGGAAAATGCCTCAGAAAGATAGAAATAAATATATTAATATCTGTCTTTTATAATATCAAATGCATTTCCACCTCAGCAAGCTAATTTTTTTCCAAAGATGTATTTGTAAATCTGTAGAAACAGCTTAATTCTCTAATATAATACCTGGTAGGAATTCTAGCCTTTTTTCTATAAAGCTCAATTTCTTCCTAATGACTCTTTTCTCATGGAAACACACTATTGCCCAAGATTAGTTACAGAGATCTGATGATGATTATTCCAAAAGAAAATAAGTGTCTACATTTGTTGATTTAAACCTTTTGCCAAAAGAAACCATTTCTTCTCTTAATTGAGTAAATAATCTTATCTTAAAAGAGTAAGTTCTTATTGTGGTAGAAACTCACTTTTCAAGGCAATTTGTTTATTTTGGTCATTTAAACAAAATAACTATCTCTACTCATTATGAACATCATGGTTTTCAAAATATGGTTCATTCGCGTATGCTTGCAGCTATTATTTTTGGATTTTGTTAAACTTGAAAGGACAGCATCTTTTGTTTTTAAATCATATATATTGAAATGTGGAACATAAGCCACTGTGATATTCAATATGATATTTTAATCACCTAAGTCAAAGGAAACAACATTCCATTTTCATGGCAAATATAATTTGCAGGTGACCTTACTGTTCATTTGCATTTGTTCTTAGGGTGAATTAGGTGTCTTATGGAAGTCTTCACATCAAGAGAGTTACTGAGGCTCATACTAGTAGTTCAGAAGTGTCCCTTCCAATAGGTTTCTGCCTAGTTGAAAAGCAGATGATTTTATGACCTGAAAACAATCATCTGAATAAGGATAACTCACTCAGGGATATTGTGTGGGAAGAGAAGTGTCAAGTACTGAAAGCCCAGATATAAAAAGAGTAATGTGATGCATGAATTAGTTGCTAAAATGGTAATCCTGATTATATAAAAAGGAAACACCCAAGAGATGACCTTAATTGTTCCTTAAAAACAGCAGTGGTGTACTCTGCTGAAAGCTTGCTCTGACAACAGTTGAAACCCTCAGCTTCTCATGATGGTTTCAGATTAAGGTGGCATGTATTCCCTTTAAAGTTAACACCATTTATACATACCTTCTTCCCAAAGCAATTCCTTTCCATTTAAATAACCCAGGCTGCCTTCAAGAAGTCTCTCATGAGAATTAACTTGTATATGATACTTAACTACTTAGTAAACCTTAAAGTGTCAAACGAATGCTTATTCTTATACCAGGGGGGCATAAATCTACCTGAAAATAGAGTTGTAAAGGCAATGCAAAATTTTCATCAGATTGTAATTTACAAAATTAATTAAGACATTTTATGTTATAATTCTTGTAAGGTGAATGTAACTCTATATAAGAAAATAATTTAACAAATGCCTCTAATCTAATGCTCCCCCTCTCCAGGATTACTTTGAAGTGAGTTAAAACACTCTGATAAAAAGGTTACTTATACAAATGCATGTCTATTATTTTTTAAATATATTTTATTTATGTGTGTATTGAATACCAGACAATGGAATTCATAAAAGGTTAGAGATGAAATGAACCCTAGGGATCATCTAGTATATTTTTCATTAACTAGTCTTTGACAGAGGCAAAACTAGAATTTAGGTCTTTCAACTTCTAGTCTTTGTTCCTTTCATTACACTGAGTTCTTTATTGCCCTCATTTAAATTATTTTTTGAGAAAATTAATAACTTCACCAATGCTCTTCAAAATTTTATTTTTAGATATGAATTTCTAAAATTTGAAGTATGTTACTAGCTTCTATGGGAAAGATTATTTGATAATGTATATTATAAATAATTTTTAAATCTAAGAAATAGCTTTCTCTACCTCAAACATGGGTTAGGAATGCTGATTAGCAAAATAAGTCTTTATTTTCAACCTTGAAAAGATTTCATTTCTCTTTCATGAATTCTGTAAACTTTTTCTTCTTTGATAGTCACACTGAATTGCTATATAAATCAAAGTTTAAATTCCCAACTCATTGTAGGAAAGCAAACACTCAAAGTTTTGGCAGTACCACTTTAAGGAGAATCTAAAGTCCTTGCTTTGTCGTTGTCTCATTCAGATCATAATAAATATTTCATTCCCAATCTAATGGATTTGGCTTGGAGTTATCTTACATAGCCATATTGTGATGTTAGGGTTTGGTTTGTTTTAAAAATTTATAGCAATTCCAAGCAGAATTTAGATCTATTCTCACAACTGCCAATAGTGCAGGCCATTTTCTATAAACATCTTCTAAAAAAAAATCAAACACACATTATCCAAAGAACCAAAGACACAGCTGTTTCTGGTTCTGATCTTAAGAAACATCAACTTTTTCTTGACAAAGTGCAAGGGAGCA